GCCGAAGCCCTGAAGTATGGTTGGTTGCGAATTTGATCTAGAATTTTATGGATTGGGATTCGGAATACCGTCGTTACCGCCTGTTTACTCCTCAACTCTGTTTCTTGTTTGGTCTGCCCATTGTTGCCTCGGCTTCGCTTCGGCGAACCGTTTCCTTTTTCTTGCTTTATCTCTTTGTTTCCCGATGTATCTTCTTCGGCCCTGGCGTATTTCTCAATTCTTGCCATGAGCTCTTCCATGTTTTTTGGCAATGTTTTTGCCAAAGACTTCCGTAGTGGGCAGTCATCTTTCAGGCCGTTCTTGAAAGATACGACTGCTACCTCCTGGTTGCATTCGGGTATTCGGTTGAACACCTCGTAGTACCTCTTCGCATAGGCCCTGAGGCCTTCTTCCTTGGTGATTCTTAGAGCCATCAAAGCATCAACCCTCAAGGGTTGCAGCTTGTTGGTCACGAACCTGGCCACAAACATCTCGGCCAGGCCTTCCCATGTCTTTATGCTTCCTTTTGTATTTATGGAACCAATCAGATGCAATTTCCCCAAAGGATGAGGGGAATACTTTGCAGAGCAACGGCTCGTTTTCGCTATATAATGCCATCGAATTCAGGTATAGCCCAACATGAAAGTTTGGATCTGACTTACCATCATAGATTTGAAACCTCGGCATACTGAATCTCTTGGGTGGTTCGAATTTGTCCAGTTCCACCGAGAAGGCTGTCTTCGGTTTTACTGGGGAGTTTACCTCGGCTTCAGCATTCTGCTGCCTCCTTTTGAGGTAGTCCCTCAAGTCTTCTTTGCTCCTCTCTGGAGCCCGGCTATCTTTGGATTTTAATCTTTTTGGTACACTGCTTTCGGCCTCGTGGTGGGTCCGTTTGGATCTTTCTCCATGGGTTGTGTCAAAGTGGAGTACTTGCCCCTGAACATGTTGATGTTCTTTGGGCTCTGGATTCTTCCTGTGGTGTGTCCTTCGGGACTCTTCTTGCCTCGGCTTTTCTCGTCCGACTTCCCTGGAAGGTTGGTGAGAGTGCCTTCCGCTCCTGGTATGCTGGGGGACTTCGGGGATTGTTTTTCTTCCGCCCTTCTGGGTGTTGGTTGCTGGCATCGGTGTATCTTGCAGTGGGTATGGCGGCTGCATAACATTATTCTGCATCATAAAGTTGACGACTGACTGAAGGTCTGCCAACTTGTTCGCCAATTCTTTTACTTCCTCATCCCTCCGTAGGCACTTGTCCCTCCAAACCTGGAGGTTATCTTCATTGTAGTACTTTCCTTGGTTTGTCCTTCTTGATGTGTCGCCTTCCGGGATGATGTCGTTCTCTCTGTGACCTTGGTCACGGGCCTCTGTATTGTGGTTGTCTCCTTCAATGTCAAGGTCAATTGGTCTGCTACTCCCGGCGGGAGCGTCATCCCCAATTTTTTCCTGCTGTCCGTTACTGGCCATCTATTCTTCCTTCGTTCCCACAGACGGCGCCAAATTGTGTGGGTGAAAATCTGACCACACTGCCCGTTTAGTGATCAACTGGAGAGCACATGCAGAATAGATGGCTTCGGTAACCTGTAATAGAAAGAAAAAGCTCCGGCAGTGGTTCTTCCACCCGGGGGCACTCCGACGATCAAGTCAGTATATCTCTCAAAGATAAATCAAGTACTAAACGTAATACTCAAAACATAAATTGCATACCTTAGACCCACGGGGGTGCCTCTCTTTTATAATATACTCAATCCAAGTCCTTTGAGAAGTATGACTTCTAAGAATTCCAATTCGGTGTTTACTTCGGACTCTTTAAGAGATAAAGATAAACTCCCTAGGAGCCTTATCCTTATCTTGGTTAAGTCCCCTCTTCGTCTTAGGACTCTTGTCTCTTATCTGTTTATCTCGGATTCCGATATCTTCGGAGATAACCCCGGCAATACCGAGATCACCTCGGCCTAACTACCACGACATGTGGCACCTCGGCTGACACGTCGGCGTCACCATGCCACTTGTTGGTATTCAGAAAATACATCCCCACAGAAGTTGATAAACAGAAATAAATAAATAAAATAATATTCTATTAATTTTTAGATAATCAAAAAAGAAAAGAATTTACATCACAATATTTAATAGCATGGCAATCTATTTAACCTTATAAAGGTTGAACTTCTTTCATATTGAGATTTCAACATGACAGAACTTAAGGGGCCAGTAGAGCTCACCACGAGTCTCGTTTCGATAATCTGAATTGTTTATTTTATAGGACTCTCAATGTATATTATCTATGAAAAAATTTAAGACGATTCGATAATTGTAACTTTTCATTTTATCATATTTGTCTCTAAAAAAATGGATGGTTTATTTCAAAAATGTATTTGTCGTCTATTTTTCATAGACAAATATGATAAAATGAAAAAGTTATGATTATTGAATCTAACTAATTTGTTTTATGAATAATATACATTGAGAGTCCTATAAAATAAACGGTTCTGATTATCGAAACGGAACTTTTGGTGAGCCCTATAGGCTCCTCAAGAGAAGCTCAACTCTTTGATCTATGGACAACATCGTTGTGCTAAAACCTTTTTTCAATTTATATTTCAACTTTACAAAGAATGAGCAAAAAATTATACCACTTATTTTGATATAAAATTATATATATCTATCTATATTATTAATAAAGAGAATACATTAGTTGGTATTATGAAATCATTCTCCACTTTAAAGTCAAGTGCATCCTTCACTTTAATGCAATGTTTAAATAACCGGACTGTACTAACCGGTTTAACCGGTAGAACTAGTAACCGGACCTAGTTCTGATCCGAATGAGCCATAAAAGTCGACCTAGGCCAAAAACCAGTCTTGTTTGCAAAAATTGGAAAAACCAGTGGTTCAACTTACAACTAGTGAATCGATCTCGGTTTTTGATCAACCTGCCGGTTGGAAAATTTTGCTTGCGTTTGGTTCTTTGTTGGAATTATTATTCTAATAAAAAAATTTTAAAACTCATAACTAAACACACAACTCAAAACTAATCAAAATTCAATTCAAAAATTATTTTCAAAACTCATAATAACTAATCACACAACTCAAAACTCTTTTTAAAATTCAAAACCAAACTTTTTTCAAAACTCTATTTTAAAAATTCAAAAAATATTTTTTTTATTTTCTTTAAAAATTATTTTTAGAATCATGATTTGAGTGTGGAGTCTTATTTTGAGTTATGAGTTTTGTTTGGTTATAAGTTTTGAAAAGAGTTTTGAGTTGTATTTTTAAATTTTTTAGATTTACTTTTTTTTAAATATTTTAAAATTTTATTAATTTTATTTTTTCAGGGTAAATATTTTATATTTTAAATATTCATTTATTTATTTTAATGTGCATTATATTTCATACATTTGGGTGCTGTAATTTTTTTAAATGTTTTAAATATTAAAACTTTTTATTTTTTTATTTTAAATATTTTATTTTATTTTATAAATATTGTTTTAAATATTTTAATTTTTTTGTTATGTGTTTGGTTACGATTTGAGTGTAGAGTTTTGAAAGTAGTGTGGAGTTTCGAATTATGTGTTTAGTTATGAGTTTTAAAAATAGTTTTTGAATTGAGTTTTAAGTTATATATTTAGTTACGATTTAAGTGTGGAATTATGTTTTGAGTTTAAAATATTAAATTTAAAAAAATTGAATATTTACAAAATAAAATAAAATATTTAAAATAAAAGTATTTAAATAAAAATTATATATTTAAAACAAAAAATAAAATTTTCTTAAACATTTTTTAATATTTAAAAAAATAAAATCCAAAAAATTTTAAAATATAACTCAAAAACTCAAAACTCAAAACTCAAAATACAATTCAAAATTCTTTTCAAAACTCATAAACAAACAAATTTTCTTTTCTCAAAACTCAATTCACAATTCCACACTTAAATCACAATTGCACAGTCAAATAATAATTCCAAAATTAAACCAAACGGAGCCTTGTTTTATATATATATATATATAAAGATTTTGACTAAAAACTGTTATTTCAAGAGTCTCCTCTTATGAGGAAGAGTCTCATTGAAAACTTGAAGAGATTATGAAAGTCTATTCCTATTTATAAAAAAAAAAAATTTCAAAGAGAACCTAAAAATTATATGTGGGTTTCAATCAAATTGTTCGAATCATATTTGATTAGAAGGAGAGTTGAAAATTTCATTTACCTCCAAAATTAAATCTAACATTCAATCAATTTGTTTGGAATGAATGTTAAATTTTTTTTAATTACTAAATTATTTGATGAAAATTTAAGTGCTAACTAAAAATAAATTGTTTGATATGTATAAAATCAAATTTAAAATCTATTATTTTCAAATTGTATATTTTAATTTTTATATTGTGATGGTGGTAGTGGTGGTGGTGGTAGTGGCGACGGCGACGACGACGGCAGTGGCATGGTGGTGCTGATGGTAGCAGTAGTGATTGTAGAGGTAATAAATTGATGATAGTATTTATGGAAACAATAACAATAGTGATGCAATAAATAATATACACACATATATATATATATATATATATATAAACAACTTTAATAAACTAAAAAATAAAAAAAGACAAAAAGGAAGAAAAAAATTCTTTCCTAAAATCGGACATGGGGTCATTGCTATGCCTGTGCCTCAATTTGAAGTGTATTATGGACTTATTTTTATAATTCAAACCGTCATTTTGTAGGGTTTGTTGAGTACTTCATTCCTACCAAAAATCATATTAATCGGATATCAATATCGATAACCAAAAAAAATAAATAATAAGTTTTTCTTTTGACAAATGACATAAAAAATATACAATTTGATCATATAATTATTGATATCCAATTAATATAATTTTTGATAAATATGAAATACTTAACAAACCTTACAAATGAACGGTTCAGATCATAAAAATAAACTAATAATATATCTCAAATTAAAACAGAACAGTCAGTGTTGTGCCTAACCTCATTTCCCCTAAAATCCCTATAAATAAACCCCTTCCATTTTTCAGACTTCTTTGCCTCTCTCCAACCTACCTTCTCTGAACCACCACCTTCTCTGAACCCCCCCAAACCATGGCAACACAGCTAGCTATTGCATATCAACATGGCGGTTACAACCACAACAGCACCACCAGCAGGCTCCTCAACTCCATCTTCATGACGACCGTGAACACAGCAGCGAAAACCCTCGTGGCGGTGGCATCAAGGACGAGGGCGGAGCACACCGAGCGGTGGCGGCCGGCGGACCACATGAGGTTCATGGTCATGCTCATGACTTGGTTTTCTGTTTGGGTTCTTAGGGTTTTGATGGATCACTTCCCTTGTTCATCAATATTCCGATCAAATTATCTACTTCAAGGGTACTCCTCCACCGTTGGATCGTTCGACTTTCCACCGCTACCATCTTCGGCATTGACTCCTTCTTCTTCATTGGATTTGGTGTTGCACGATGGCTTTGATGGTCCTTCTGTTCAAGCCCTAGGTCGATCTATCACACATGTAAGTGTTGTCTTTTTTGTTAACTAACTTCCAAGAATAATATATAAATAAAAAAATATACATATTAAAATTTATTAAAATATAAAATATCATTGTTACACGACATTAGTGAATAAAAATTCATGTTTGGTTTGTTTGCGAAGTTCAAAAAAAAATTTAAAAAATTAATCTAGTGAATAAAAAACACTTGAAGTTCTCATGATTTTTCACTTTTTTAATGTTAATTTTTACCAAAGTTAATTTTTGTTTTTATTTAATTATAGAGATGTTTTCGTCACATCATTTTGTGAATTGATTATATATAAAAATTTGGTAAAATTTTTTATTTGGGTTCATTTCTCGAAATCTATTGTTTGAAGATTTTATTTTAAATTTTTTAAAAATAGTTTGTTGAAAAAAATACTTATTGTTTTCAAATAATTTTTTTTAGACGAGAACATTTTTTTAATATTTATTTTTATGAAGTTAATTTTTATTTAAAAGGGTGCACTCACAAATTATATTGGAGGACATTATGGTAATTAGGGGAGGAGTAATGATTGTATACACCTGTCGTACTTAATTCCAAATGTTCCTTCTTTAGTTTGACACGTGTTGCATGTTGGGTTTGTCGGAAGCGAGGAAAACATTCACATTTTTGTTTTTGTTTTTTTGTTTTTTAAGTTTTTGTTTTTTTGTTTTTTAAGTTTTTGTTTTGTTTTTATATTTTTATTGTTATAAATTATAATTTGGTCGGATGCAGAACATTCTTATTCCTTGAGTAACCCCATCTTGATGGAGGTGTCACAATTCTTTAAGCATAAATTTTTTTATTCATAGACTATTATTTTGATGATTTATATATATATATATATATATTTTAAAGAAATTAGACTTAAATATATAGTTTGTTCATTTCGATTTCTTTTAGTTTAACCAAAAAAGTATGTTTAGTGGAGTTGTTTTTTTAAAAAACTTTCGAAAAAAATTAAAATTATTTATAAAAAAAAATAAATTTTAAAATTTAAAGTTATTTTTACCCCAAAAAGCATCATATGAAAATAATAAATTTTCTTTCTTTTTTTAAACTAATTTTTGAAATTCTGAAAATTCAACCGAACAAAAAATATCAAATTTGGATATCATTGAGGTGTCACCTTTCAACTCATAATAATTTATTGGTGAGGCATAAGATTGTATATAAAATTTAGTACCAAAAATTGTAGTCTTGCTTGTCATAAAATTGTATTCATAGTTTTTTTTTAAAATTTTTTTTAATATGTTTTTATAAGCTTGAACAATCATTATAGATAGAAAATAAATACCAAATAACTATTTTTGTTATCTATTTGTTTATTTTATTCCTCCAACTTAGGCATTATTTGACATCCTAGTGTATTATTTTTATTTATTTTTATCTTTTTTTAGTCATATCACCTTTCTATTTTTTTTATACATTTTTTTTTAAAAGTCAAAAAATATACTCCCTCTGTCCCAACATAATTGTCCCTTTTGGGAAATCTAAATTTTTTTGGTAGTACAATTATTGCACTTTAAAAAAATTAATTTTTCAAAATTACTCTTTGATAGTACATTTTTTGATAAATATCAATATCATAATTGTATTTTTTATATTGTTAATGAATTTAAAAGAATGGCAAAATGAAAATTTTATATTATTTTTGTATTTAATTTTTGAAAAGAAACTAATATTTTAGGACAATAAAAAATAAAATAAAAGACTAATATTTTAAAACAAAAAAAATATTTATTTAGATCATTCCAAATATCCTTCCACTTGTAATAATTTATTTATTTATTTTTCCTTCATCTCTAAGCTACTCTTTTGGTTTTTTTCCTTCTAATTAGAGTGTCAATTCGGTTTGAAACTTCAGGCAAGATTTTATGCGTCACGGTGTCTATACATCCAACACGCCACGTGGCACTAGGGAAGCATTTTTTTTACATGCAGACAGTTAATCATTTTTGGCACATCAGGCTACCACGTGTCATACTCGGTAGTTATTTTTGCTTCAGCAATAATTGAAATCTAATCGAGTACTAATGATATGATAAAGAGAAAATCAATAAATAAATAAATTAAGATCAAAATTACATTACAATAGATGAGGTCCACTGTCAACTCATTAGAGATGACTTTAAAACTCAAGAATTAGAATTCCAAAGCATTTTTATTTTTATTTTGATGTAGATCATGTAAAGAGATTAGCGGTTATCTTTGGTTTTCTTTTTAAATTTTATTTTTTGAATTTTTTTAAAAATTAATTTGGTAATTTTTTTTTTTAAAGTCACTATTTTTTTTAATGATTTTCTCATTTTGAGATAAAAATAATATTAAAAATTTAAAAATATTTTTTTTACGGTTTAGTTTTACCAAACTAGCTTGTAATTTTTAAAAAAAATTCAAAAGAAATTCTGAAAATTAAAGTATACAAAGTCATAATTTTGATGAAAATGTTAGACATTTTAAAAACTATTTATTGAAAATTATACGCAATATTTACATATGTGTGAGTTTCATATGGTGAGAGCCCCACGTCATATTGTTTAAATTTTTTGATAATTCTTTTAGGATATCTAGCATTGTTCAATTCAGGTGAGATTCACACATGTATTAATGTATTGCACATTATATAAATTGTGTTTGATTTCGTAATTGAATTATATATGTACGCAATATTTTTGAAAGAAAAATACAAGTGATAGTCTTTCAAGGCGTCAAACATCATCGATATATACATAAAAAAAAACATATTAAAATTTATAAAAATAACAAAAATATTTTTAAAATGGGTAAAAGATGTATTGAGCTTTTAAATTTTTTGACATTTTGTTCCTCTTAATGATAGTTTAATAGGTTGTCATCCACATGATTAATTGAAAATACTTATTTGACAGATGTAATATGTTTTTGAATTTCTGATTGAGAACGAATTTGTGAATGGAAATAAATTAAATTTTGTTTATATGTATTTTTCTTTCCAAATCTTTTGATAAATTCAGAATTTAAAAATTGCGTAAGTGATGGAATTTTAGAATTTAACATAGAATCCAATCCACCAAAATAAAAGTGAGAAATATTTTTTTTAAAAGAGAATGCTTTGTCTTTAGTTCCAGTTTGAACTAGACCAAGTAGTTCAAGCATCTAATAGATTGCGATAAAACAGTATTTTAGGGCAAACAAAAGCTTAGAATTTTTCTACTAACTCCTGCTCAAACATTTTTTTGGCTCAAGTCTATACGAATTTAATATTAATCGTGAGTCAATTGAGTAATCTAGTTTTTTATTTAACATAAAATTGTGACATTGGATTATTGCAACATGCCAATCAAAATTTAAACCGAAAACAAGTCAATTAAATTAAAATTTTATTAATTTGTAAAACGTTATTGTTCGTGTAAAATAAATTGATGTATATTATTGATTGATTTGTATCTGTATATTACAATTCCTATATATATAGAGGAGAAGATGGTAGTAGGTGTAGGTGGTAGTGGAGGTGGTAGGTGGAGTGAGTGGTAGTGGAGGTGGTAGGTGGGTGGTAGTTTACATTTTACAATTTACATTTTACATTAACAGCCCCCCTCAAACTCAAGGAGGATAGGTACTAGCCAACTTGAGTTTGGAGAGAGTAACAAAACAGAAAAATAGGCTGACAATTAAAAATGGGATAGGAGACACTGTATGGTCGTGTCGGACCGTTGTAGCAGACAGTTTACGGGGTCATGTCGGACCGTTGTAGAAGACAGTTTACGGGGTCATGTCGAACCATTGTAGCAGAGGTTGTGGTGGTGCACCAAGGGGGCGACTTAGGGAGTGCGCCATGAGCGACTTATACATGATACTGTGTCACTGTATGAGTGTGTATATAGGCTGCCCAAAAGATATACATGTAGATAGATATATCGCGCCCTCAAAAGGTGTGCCCAATCTTTCAAAAGGCGTGCCATCAAAAGGCGCGCCCAGTTTGTCGTCGAGCGCCGAGCGACGCATGATGCGCGTGTCTGCCTTGGCTATTTAACCAAGACGAAGGCTGAGGCTGAGGCAGAGACTGAGACAAAAAACTGAGAGAAACATCTGAAAAACTCTTCGTGTTCTGAGAGAGAAACTCTGTAATATTCTGTAACACTCTGTTGCCCAGAAAATGGCCTCGTCTTCCCGTGGTTTGCTCACTCTCTTTCCCGACTTCAACGAGTCAACAAGAGAGATAACTGATGCAGTGGCCCGTGAACCGCAACCAAGCGCCTCTGGTTTGGCGCCATTGAGCTTTTCGATGCGGTCTGTGGAGCAAAAAATGGCAGTGCAAACTGATATTGAGGCCAATCAGTATACTTTGAAGTCATGTGTGGAGACCATGACGGCGGTCACAAACCTGTCGCACCGGCTGCAGAGTAGGACAAATGAGGTGCAGCAGTTAAACGCCCAACTGGCTCTGCTCCAGCGCATGTATAAGGATGCGCGAGCAGAGATAAGTGTACTAAAAGCGAAAAACAAGGAGCTGAAGCGGAAGGCCACCGTGATGTTCCGATTTGGAGATCCGCCATATGCTGCAGTGGAGGAGCAGCGGGGAGTTGTGATCGTACCCAATGGAGTGGGAAACACTGAGGCAACACCGGCAAGGGCCTCGCAGGACGGAGGCAAGAAGAAGAGACCGGCGGCAGAGTAGAGAAGAAAAATCCCGCCTGTGGATGTGGTTGTTTGGGTGTTGTATGTTTGTTGTTTTTGTTTTTGTTTTTGTTTTTATTTTTTTTTGTGGTTGATTGTTATAGATTTGTTATTGTTGTTGTTGTTGATGATGATGATGATGACGATGATGATGAATGTTGTTAATGATAAAACAGATAATAGCATTGATAAGTTCTGTTCAAAATTTGAACAGATAGTGGCATGGTGATTTCAATGACAAATGTTTGAATAGATAAAAAATCAACAAATAGAATCAGGAAAAAAAAAACTGTATAGGTAATAAAACTTTGACAGATAGATTTAAATAGATAAGCAAAAAAAGTGTGAGAGAGTGTGTGTGAGTAATATATTATAATAAAAAATAAAAAAAATAAAAAAAAGATATATATATATATATATATATATGGGGCAGTGGAGAAGAGGGGTGTTAAAAATAAAAAAGGGGTATGAGTGTGCAAAAGGTGGTGTGAAGTGTGTGTCCTCTCTCTCTAAACCGTGTGTGTGTTGTGTGGATGTTGATAGATTAATAAAATATGAGAGAGTCGGTGGAATAAAGGAAGGGGAATGATGGATATGATTAAAGTGGATCTGATGGAGAGAAAGGACCAAAGAGAGAGAGGGAGTGGGTTGAAAAAAATGTTGGTACAACCCATCAGTGCATGAAAGTCCATAGTAATAATGGTGGGGTTGTTGAACTTCATCCAATGGTGGTACATGCTGTCTAAGCTTAGAGCCATTGCTTCTCTCTCATGGGTTCTGATCACTTCATCACGTTGGGTCGCAGAACATGGGATTTCTGGCGGTTAGATCAGCCGGAGATCGATTGGGGATCCAGCTTCATCAACATGGACCAGAACCGGTCCAGCCTCTTCTGCTTCGTCGGCGGCGCTTGAGCCGACTTCAAGAATAACTTCAGAGCACTGTTACTGAACCAGTGCGGGAACGAGTCGGACTCGTGCAGACTCATCGACTGTGGTAAGACCGAGTGCGCCGTGGGCCGGACGCCGAGCCTGGAAACGTTTCTCGGCTTGGACTTCTGTTTGCAGCCGAGAGGAGACAGCTACACGAAGAGGTCCGTGTTCGATTGCATGCTCGCCGGTTCGATCCCGGTTTTTTTCTGGTTCCGGACCGCTTACGACCAGTACGAGTGGTTCTTGCCGGGTGAACCGGAGAGTTACTCGGTTTTTATCGACCGTCGCCATGTGAGGAATGGGTTGTCGATAAAGAAAGTGCTGGAGCAGTACAGTAGAGAGGAGGTGAGGAAGATGAGAGAGAAGGTGATAGAGCTTATACCCAAGTTTGTGTATGCGAAGCCCAGTTTTGACATTTTGTTCCTCTTAATGATAGTTTAATAGGTTGTCATCAACATGATTAATTGAAAATACTTATTTGACAGATGTAATATGTTTTTGAATCTCTGATTGAGAACGAACTTGTGAATGGAAATAAATTAAATTTTGTTTATAAGTATTTTTCTTTCCAAATCTTGTGATAAATTCAGAATTTAAAAATTGCATAGTGATGGAATTTTAGAATTTAACATAGAATCCAATCCACCAAAATAAAAGTGAGAAATATTTTTTTAAAAAGAGAATGTTTTGTCTTTAGTTCCAGTTTGAACTAGACCAAGTAGTTCAAGCATCTAATAGATTGCGATAAAACAGTATTTTATGGCAAACAAAAGCTTAGAATTTTTCTACTAACTCCTACTCAAACATTTTTTTGGCTCAAGTCTATACGAATTTAATATTAATCATAAGTCAATCGACTAATCTAGTTCTTTATTTAACATAAAATTGTGACATTGGATTATTACAACATGCCAATCAAAATTTAAACTGAAAACAAGTCAATTAATTAAAATTTTATTAATTCGTATAACGTTATTGTTCGATTCATAATTATACTCTTCACATTATATTTAGCACATTCCCATTGGCATTTGTAGATATTTGCATTGTTAAATGAAATGCCAGCGTCGTCGAGAAAGTACCAGTTCGCAGTGGCTATGGCCGACAAGATCGTGGACGAGAATTCGAGGAACGGCCACGTGGAGCTCTTGCAGATCAATCGTGTGGCTCTCGGTTCCGCATTCGCGCGTACGCTAGGCCTCCTCTACCGCTCCCTCAAAACCAAACAATCCGTAAATTATGGCGGTGGCGCGTGGACTTCCACCATCGTACGCGCACTTCCACTCGGCTCCTACGTGGCGCCTTACTTGAAGGGTTTAGGGTTTTGCGTCAGCGCAATTTACTCTACCGTGGCCGGTGGCGGCCAATCGGAGAAGCGGCGGAGGGCGGCGGCGGACGGTGAAGATAGCACCGCCGTGGTGGCGGAGAAGTACGCGCAAGAGCTGCTGTGGATAACCAATAAGCTGAGGGTGTGTGGGGCCGTGGATGAAGCTGTGATGCAGTGGAGCCTAGCCTCGGGTCTAGCAGCTCTCTCTCTTACAGCCAATCCGAGGGTTCAAGGTTCCATTGTCAAAATCTCATGTGAGTGACCAATCTATTTCTCTTACTTTCTCATAATAAATTTTAGGTAAATTATATTTTACTTAATTTTTTTTAATTCACTCGATTTTCACTCTAAATATTTGATTGCGCATATGAGTTAACTTTATTTAATTCAATATTTATTTTCTGTCAAAAATCTAAAGGACAATATGAATTGGACTAAATTTATACAAAACTAAAATTCAAATTCAAATTTAGTCAATTGAAAGTCTAGCAATCAAAATGTATGGACTACTAATATAATTTGCTCTAAATTTTATTTTCCTTTCAAAAGTATCAACAAGTCCTAGAATTTTTAAAAAAACACTTTTTAATTTAAAAAAAAATGTTCAATTAGTTTTTTAATTTAATGAAATTCTCATCTAACTTTCTTATAATATAATTACACTATGATTTATATACTAAAATAGATAGAAAAATAATGACATGAAAGTAAATAATTTGTTTATCAGATTTTTTTTTTTTTTTTGAAATATCTAATCCTAACTGAAAATTAATATTATAAATACTAAATTTAACATCACATTGTTTTTTTGGTCTAAACATCAAAATAATATAGCTATGAAAATTTGGATTATTAGACCTAAATATTAGCTTTTTGTTTTTTGTTCTTCTTGAACAGGTATATATGCTCATGGTATGCCATTAGAAAAATAATGACATGAAAATAGATAGTAAATAATTTGTTTATCAGATTTTTTTTTTTTTTTTGAAATATCTAATCCTAAGTGAAAATTAATATTATAAATACTAAATTTAACATCACATTGTTTTTTTGGTCTAAACATCAAAATAATATAGCTATGAAAATTTGGATTATTAGACCTAAATATTAGCTTTTTGTTTTTTGTTCTTCTTGAACAGGTATATATGCTCATGGTATGCCATGCTAATGTGATTAGAAAAAGAGAAAAACAATTATTTTTTTCTATGGAATTATGTCTTTTATCAATGCCTATCGTTTTATAAAAAGAAAATTTGTTTTTATCAATAATTTTCATATATTTTATCATTTTGAAATAAAAGATTCGACGCTTTAGCTCAAAATTTCAAAAATATCAATATTAGAATGTTTTTATTTGTGTATAATTGTCTGTCTAATATTTTCTCGACATTTTTGGCATGTAACTTATTAATTAACCATCAATTTTTATCAAAATAAGTTTGGGAATACATAAACTAGTCATAAAATCAGACACAAAATGTATATAGATAGACAAATTTTTCTAGAAGTGGGTCTCGTTAACAAATTTTATAAAATTTTACTCATTTTTGTATATTTTATGTTCTATTTTGTATTTAGTTTACGTGTTTTTAACACAACTATTCATGTCATATGCAGCTATACTTTTTGGAGAGCTTACCAGAGGAAACCTAGATATTCCAAGCCAAGTAAAGTTCAAGCTGCTAGTGCTTTGGCTTCCATTGTTTTGTTATGCAGACAATGGCCTTGCATATCCAGTCTTGACAGGCACTGAAAAGGTGGAGACTGAGAGAGCAATAGATGAAGTGATCTCAAGCTTGCCTGTAGTGGATCAAGAAGTGGTCCTCACAAATTGGCTACAAGACTTTGCGATTTCGCCCTCTGAATGGCCTAACCTGCAAATATCATACGATCGGTGGTGCCAGTCAACTCGCAAACTTGTCCCATGAACTCAACACTGGATGTCTTGATGGCCGCTTAGTCTATCTTTTACTATGTAGTGGCTAAGTTTCCATTGAAACATCTATGGTTTCTCATTCCATGTGTATGTACTTTGGAACCCTAATAAATGTTGTACCTAGATGGTGAGCATACTCACCCTATGGTTGCTTATCTAAATAAAGAAAAATGAGTGAGAGCACTAATTAGTGCTATCACTAATGATGTGGCAGTGGGCCTCACAAGGAATGATTTGATGTTTTGGCTTTTGTGTTATATTTTTTTTTCTTTTTTTATTGAGTATCATGTCATTAGTAATCTTTTTATAGCTCCAAAATTAGTGGTCTCTATCATTGTTGCTAAATAAAACCTGCCATGCGTACAATCTATCCATAAACTTACATGCATGTATATAATGTAATGTTATAGAAATAGAAGTTTCATTCAAAAAATTTATATAGAATTATGTGGTTTTTAGTCGTTATTTTATTTCAAACTAAAAGATACTTTGACTTAGACTTATATTCAATGTTTGGTTGAATTTAATTTTCTGAAAATTGATTTTTTTTAAAAATATTTTTAGTGTTTTTTATTTTTAGCGAATATTTTTAAAATTTTAAGTAATTTTTTTACTTTTTTAGATGCACCTTACTTAGATGTATCTAAATAATAAAATATTTATGAAAAAAATATTTTAAAAAACTAATAAATACAAAAAAATAAATGTAATTTTTTTTTTGTATTTTTGGTATTTAGGATTTTTTAAAATATTTTTTTTCACAAATATTATACTTTGAAGTGTATTTATGTTAAGTGTGTCTAAAAATTAAAAAAAAATTACTTAAAATATTAGAAAAATTAAGTAAAAATAAAAAAAATACAGAAAACAAAAATGTAGAATTTTCTGAAAAATAAATTCTAAAAATAGAAACCAAACAAATTAAAGTGTCAACTTGATTTCTGCTATAATTGTTGAGTTGTGTTGAAGGTTTTGTGTTGGTGTTTCACTATTCTGTCTAGAGCATCTCCAGTTGAGATGCCTAATCTTATAGGAGCAATTTCAAACAAATGGAAAGAATAAACAATTACAAATAAGTGAAAGAATAAAAAGTAACTACAAAGGGGAAGGAAACTTGAAAAACTTGGGTAACGTTTGGTTTAATTTTCAAAACTCAATTTTGTTTTTAAATCATTATTTGAATTTAAATTTATAATTAAATAAATTTTTAAAATACAATTCAAAATTATTTTCAAAACTCATTTCTTCTCTTTCTTTTTATATTTATTATTATTAATCAATCAATCAATTATTTTTTCTCTCATCTCTTCTCTCATATTCTCTCACATTCTATATATCAATCAATTAAAAAAAAAAAAGAGAGTACACATCATCCCCAAACAATTTTTAAAACTCATAATCAAATAAATTCTCTTTTCAAATCATAATTCAAAAGTTCAAAACTCAAAACACAACTCTACACTCAAATCACAATTTTAAAACTAAACCAAACGGATCTTTTGTTTTTGCAAACACTCATATATGCTTTATTAAAAAAATTAAACAAACAAGTCCCTTTCTCTTCCCTTGAATTTTTCAAAATGCCATTCCCCTTCCCCTGTTCCTCTTCTTTCCACAACTTCAAACCTCCACATACCCCCAAACCCTCCTCATTGCGACCCCAAACTACTTATCCAACTATCGCAAAAACGTTTTTAGTAAGTACAACTTGTGTTTGGGTTCAAGTGCAATACATTTTAGGTTCAGTGCAATGTCTACAACCTGTACAATTTGGACTTGCATTAAGAACATATGTTTTTGTATTTGTGCACATGTTATACTTGTACAAAACTTATTCATTTCACAGTACACAGGAGTAAAGGGTTCAAGGTGTTGGAAATTATGTCTTTATCGTTTTTATAGGCTTATTATGGGTCAATTTTGAGCCCAAATTTAAGTGAGACCCACAATGTTTTTTGAGTTGAATTTAAATAGGTGATGTGTTTCTTGCCACATGAAAAGTTACACGGGGCAAACAATTCGTCAAAACTATTTATGAGTGAATAGAAAGTTAACGTCGTTTTTGAATTCGTGAATGGAAAATTGAAGAGTCAAAAGTGGATTTCTTTTAAATGGTTGTCCCACATTGAAGTTTTAAGAAAGCTTGTGTGTATATATTTGAAACATACATTATTTTGACAAACATGAACTTTAGGTAATTTATATTTAATATACATTTGACTACCATTAGCAGAAGTTAATTTCTCATGACATTTTTTATAATATTTAGTAGGAAGTAATCCTTCTTGTATACAGTTTAAATCAGCACCAGTATCAATTAAAGCAATTAATTCTAATTCAAAACCTTCAACAACAATTTTAATTTTTGAATACCATTTTTGAATATAAATCTTATTGATTAGATTTAATCGTTTGTCTTCAAGATTATTAGATTGAGATTGATTATCAAATAAGAGTTGATCAGGATTAGTGTGATCAGAATCATGCTCAGAATTATTTTCTGATTCATGAGGAGAGATTTTGGGATTAGGTTGGAAATTATCGAGACTTTGATTAAGTTTTAGAGAAATAGTTTCATCTTCTAATTTTTTATCCTTATTCTGTAATTCTCGAATGGTTTGTTTAATTTGATTGATTTCAGATTGTAAATCTTGAAGTGTAATCTCTTTATTTTTGTTTTTAAATCGTTCTAAAGTTTTAGACAAACTAATAATAGGTTTGTTAATTTTAGTTTTATTGTCTGAATGAATTAATAAAGATTTTAATTTATCCATATATTTTTGTTTTAAATTGGGATCATCTAGCTTACTAATTAATTCAATTAAGGAAGATTCCTCTTGATTTTGTTTTGTCAGAACCGTAATTTGTTTAATTGGTTTACAACAGACATCATTACATCCTAATGTTATATTATTATCATCAGAATCAGTACTGGGTGAATGACTATCAGAAGAAGTTTCGGGATTATCAGACGAGGAATTACTAACAGATTGATTTAATTGAAAGATTTCAAATATTTGATTATTAGATTCGTCACTATTTGTAATTGATTAACCTTATCTTTTAATTTATGTTTTTCTTTGCACTTATTAGAATAATGGCCTTTTGTACCACAGTTATAACATGTAATATCTTTATTAGATTTAGATTTTGAATGTGATTTTTTGTAATGTTTCTTTTTGGGTTTAGTATAAAATTTATCATTGGATTTGGAGGGTGAATAATTCTTTTTGTATTTATTAGAATATTTGGATTTATATTTATGTGATTTCCTTTGAGAGGGTGCTACAGGAGGTAAACCATATTGTTCACAGAAATTTTCTAATTCATATTTAGCTTTGTGTTTATCTTTGGTGGCTTTTTGACTAAGTTTAAGATCAATACACATTTTTAATCCTTCTTTTTGAATAGTGCTAATTATATCACCATAGGTTAAATTATCATATTCAATAATACCAGTAGGTTGGCTAAGAACATCTCGAATTTTGTGAGCAAATAAACTAGGTAATCCATTGATAAATTTTTCTTTCCAAAATGATTTAGTACAGTCTTTTCTTAACATAACTCTAGAGGTAAAAACATCTTTATACCATCTAAAATCACTTAAGGTTGGACATGTAAGATTACTAAATTGATCATGTATGCGAGAATAAATATTAGTAGGGGTACCAATAAAATGTCTAACAATTGTATAGATTAGTGCATTAATGCCATCCAGGTGGCAACGGCCAATTGATTCATCAAAGATAGGCAAACCATTATCGTCAGTTTGATTAGCATAAATAACGGAGTCTCGTTGTTCTTCAGTTAAATATTTCTCCCACCAAGATTTGAGCATACCAGTGAAACCAGAGGTAATTAAAGTAACAATTTTAGGTTGAGTATATTGGGGATAATTGGAGAGATAACTATTAGAGACCATAGATAAATGATTTAACTTTTGGAGGATTTGATCTTCACTAAGACCATCAATATTCCATTCGTATAATTTTTTAGCAGAAACAGAAAATTGATTATTAAGGTTAGTTTCTTCAAATTGAAGATCAACAGGAGTAGGTCAAGAATACCAATTTTTTGTAGTTTGAGGATTAATTTTGGGATAATGAATCTTATTAAGATGAGAAGATTGAAATTGTTGAGCTAATTGATTTATGTCATCATCAGTGGTTTCAGTGTCTGAATGGGTAGAAACAATTTGAGTAGTAGGTTGTTGATTTAGAACAGTAAGACCTTTATCTTTAGAGGGTGATGCATTATCAGGAGTAGATAATTTAGTAAATAATTTTTCAATAGCTTTGATATTAGATTGATCATTGGTAACTAAACTAGTTCTTTTGGAACGATTACTAGGTAGATTAAGTAGAGGTGGATCTAAAGGTTGTTTAGTAGATGGGTTTTGAACAGATTCTAAATTGGTTTCTATTTTGTCTAATTGTTTACCAATGGTATTTAAACATTGATTAGTATAATTATTTTGTTCAATAACCTTTTTAATCTCATTATCATTTCCAGGTAATTTGAAAGGTGAAGCGGGGATTTCGGAACCTTGTTGATTAAGAATTATTTTCTCTAAAGGAGGATGACTAGAAGTAACAGAAGTAGTATCAGAAGTTTTCCATTTATGTTTGGTGATTGTATTAATCTTTTTTGTAATATTTGTCAACATATTCTAATAGAGGTAATTCAAAACCATATTCTACCATAAAATCATACCATTGTCGAGTAATTTTGGACATTTGAGCAGAATTATATTTAGCATAATAAGCATGTCGTTGTGATTTATTTTTAGAGGATTTAAATTCAATAAGTAATTTATCTAAATCAGGTTTAAAATCTCTTCTGATTGTCATCAATTGAGGATTAACTGGTGGTATAAATTCTTCGAAATCAGTTTGAGTTGGAGAGTTATTAGAAGCAATTTCTTCTTCTGGTAGATGTGTGTTCGTAGAATAAACAGGTTTACTGATTTGGGAGGAAGTAGTATTATCGATGCCCTTTAACTTATTAGTAGAAGGTTGACTAGTTTGACCAAGATAGATTTTACTATTTTTTCGAAATAAGGGAGTATTAAATATTTCATCTTCAGTTTCAATTTTAGTTGGAACGCTAGATGTACTATGTCTAGAGGATTGACTACGATTAAATTTTATTCGAACAGAACCATCATTAAATTGGTGAATATCTTGGATATCTTGAATGGAGGATTGTTGTTGATTATGTTTGTAATTTTCATTGACAGTA